TTGGACAACCTAATTTCTCTCTTCTCAAAAACATAATGGATGAAGTTTCTATGAGGCATAGGCTCAATGAAAACAAAATAAAGCCTCTTTCAAATCTTTGTCTTGAAAGCACTTTTCGGTAATAAAAATCCCCATGATGGTTCTAAAATCAATTTCTAAAATCAACAATAAAATTTAAAACTACAAAAATGGTACAAATCTTATAAATTTATGAACATTTATTTCCAAAGTGAAATTGACTACCTAGATAATTTATTGCAATATACACTAATTTTAGAGCTTTAAGTCCTTAATTTTTTTTACATGCATAATATTCAAGCTGTGGTGATCGACGTAAATGTTTTTTAACGCTTGAATTATGAGTTTCAACTAGTAATAAAGTCAGGCTTTACTTATTTTGATCGGGCTCCAGCCCTATCAAATCATTTTCGAAATTGAATTGACAAAACAAACCAATTTCTCTCTATCTCAAAAGAAATTGACAAAATCATATTTAAAGTGTGACAAATGTCAAAGTATACGACAGAATTAAGAAAATCTCACAAGAAAAGGATAAGATTCAAATTACTTTGATTGATTCTTTCCCCTTCTATGAGTCGTACAAGCTTTACATATTAATTAGGACAATGTAGGAAAATTGGAAATTCATATTTGACTTGTCTATTTTAATGTAATAACGTGTTACTTGAGAAAAATGTTTTAAGGAAAAATATCTCATCGACATCATGTGGCTGAGAGCTCATGGCCATATCCAACCACTAAAAATCAGTCTTCTATCTTATATTTTATTTTTTATTTTTTATTTAAATATGATGCTTATGAAATTTGGGCGGACCCCAATTAGTTGAGAAAAACTTTATTGATGATGATTGAATTTTGAAATGTAGTTTTATTTTATAAATATAATTAAATAAAAATGATTAAAATATATTAAATAAAAATGACTAAACTACCCCAAATAATTTTGGTCAATTTTTACTTAAAATATTTTTTTATTATTTCTCTCCAATCTCACTTATAAAAGTGAACCTATAACCAAAATTTTAGATCAATACCATTTTTTTTTTAAAAAAAAGAGATTTGTTATTAACCCTTGGATGAGCATTGTTCAATATGAAACATTAAACGGTACATGTGCACCTTTTAAGTGTCCACATGCTCTGGGCACAACACAACCCATGTTTTAATATCCCGACCGGCCGATCAATGCGAAACCGGTTAGTTTACGAGAGCCGACCGTGAAAATATGTCAAATTAAAAAAATAAAAATAAATAAATTTTAGAACTGGGCAATCTAGCCTAATTGAATTCCTTGGTTTCATAGGAACGAGATTGATTCTCCGTTCCAACCAAGAACCAATTCAATTAACACCAATTCCCGAATATGAATCTGGCCACTCCGATCAGCATTGCCGGTTTTTCAAACACTGCTTTGAAATTGTAGACCGAAGTTTCGCCTAAATACATGAAGAAAGCATTTCTTGTGATTCTCTTCCGAAAGCCAAAACAAATTTGGAAAATTTTTACTTAAAAATTCATTTGTGTTATTTTCCTTATTAAATTTTGAAAACGATTTTAATAGTTATTAAATATTTTTAATTGAATCCGTATTTTAAAACTTGACCTAATCCAGATCATGAATCATCAATTCAAATACAATTCAATTGCTCGGTAATCTGGTTCCAACTCGGGCCCTCCCGCAATCTCCCCAATACTTCTTATTATTTTCTTAAGGGAAAATTTTGTACATACCTCTAATCACCTATTTCACGGTAGACCCCCAAGTATTTCACCGTATTTCACGGTAGACCCCCAAGTATTTCACCGTACCCCCTCATCTCTTTTCTCCTACGTTTATTCACTTTTGGCCACAAAAACTAGCCCCAACATATTGTTGAGATGAGGGGTACGATGAAATACTCAAGGGTTTTTCTATGCCACTTGAAAGAAAAATAGAAAGGGGGTCTACAGTGAAATAAGATATAAATTAGAGGTTTGTATGATATTTCCCTTTTCTTAACCGCTTTTCGACTATTCCAGTCACTGATTCAGCCGATTGGGATTGGTATAATGGGTGGGCATTCAAAAACCCAATTTCTTGTTTTAAAACATTGATTTAAGTGGAGGAAATTTATTTATTTTGGATCATATGCCATGTAGATGATTATTATCAAAGAAAATATTTGTATTTTTTGATTTTTTGAACACCTAGATCTTTCGCTCCAAATATTGGACGGTTACTATGAATCTTGGGATGTCACTTGTTTGAGGCATAAAGAGAGAGAGTTTTAAATTTGTTTTTCTTAGATATTGGACCCTGGGTTCAGAAGATTATATCCCCAAAATTTACATGCATTAATTTTATATGCGGGAGTATATGGACAATATACTCTTTTGGCTTATTTATTTACTCTTTATTTAATTTTTGAATTATTTATTTAGTCTCTCTTTCCCTATTGGTAAAGCTTTTTATGTTTCTCCTATAACATAGAAGTTCTATCCTCTCCCTACCATCCAGCTGTCCATTTTCATCAAGAGAGCCACTTACCGTTTGATCTTAGATCCGACGTCTCAAAGTATTTTTTTTAAGTTTTTTTTAATACAATTTTTCTGAATAGGGAATTTGGTACGTGTCATCTTCTCATGGGGGCGCACCTATAAAAAATATAAACAATAATTTTTTGATAAAAAATAATAACCAAAATACCTCTTGAAACTTTCAGGGGCATTTTGGTTATTTTATTTTATCAAAAATTTTTTTTTATATTTTTCGTTAGTGCAAGTTTAATAGAGGAATGGTCCTCCAAAATCTGGTGTCAAAACAGTTTATACATAAAAAAATTAAAAATAAAATAGTGTAGAGACGTGACATTGTGATGGGGGCAATCTTAACCCTCCATTAAAAAATGGACGGTTGGATAAGAGAAAGATAGAACTTCTATGTTGTAAAAAGAACATGAAAAGCTTTTTCTTTTCTATTATCGAGCTGAGCCTCGGCTCTATACAAACTGCACGGCTCTTTCGCTAACGCACAAACGTCCGTCACAAACTACATATTTTATATAGACGGCGCACCAAAAAAAATATTTTTAATTTTTAAATTTTTTTTTTTCTTTTTATATTCATGATCATCATAAATGATGCATCCATAAAAATTAGATAAAAAATACATATTTAAAATGGATTTTAGAAGGGGCCCGCATGTGTACATATGAGTAGGCCGAAACGCATCCAAAGATAAAAAGGAGTAAGCAACGCTTGTTTGTTGAACCCTGCAGGTGCAGGCGATTGAGTTGTGGTTCCTGCGAACGTAACCCACACGGCATCTCTCTCTCTCTCTCTAACCCACACTTGCAGGTGTCGCTCTATCACCAACCCAAAATTGTATAGGGGTGGCCGGACCCAGACCTAAAGTTGTCGGCCTCTGACTCAGACTTGAAGTTATTGGACCCTGACTCGGACTTAGTCATGAAGTGATCGGACCTGGACCCGGACCCGGACCCGACTCAAAATAAAATAAAAATATATATTTAAATATTACATTAAATATATATATTATTTAAGAGAAATGATCATGTAAGATCTTCCCTTACCTATGTATATAGAACCCTAAAAGATCACCATTAAATTTGACACAGATTATAGAAAAGTGAAGTTCCACACCCACGTGATAATTTTTGTAGAGATCCATGTCAACTTTAATGTGATCATTTAATGTCCTACATTTATAGGTGGAGGAGAGTCCTATCATATCATTACTCATTATTTAAAATATATAATTATATTTATTTAAATATTATTAAAAATATTATATATTAATTATTATTTTAATTAATAATACTATTTGGGTTGGATCCACATGGACCCATATTCAAATAGTATTCGGGTCCAATATTTGAAGCCAGACCCGACCTGCTGGATCCAATTTTTGAACCCATACCCAGACTCGGGTTGGGTCCGGGTCCATTGCCACCCCTAGAATTGGAGGTATCTCTCTAACGACACTTCAGTCGCTGCAATTGTTCCTTTCTCTAACCACACCCACAATATCTCTCTCTCTCCTTCCAATGGCGTAAGGCAGGCAAGGCAAAGCCTTGACATAAGCCAAAAAGGAAGTCATCTGACCCACTTGCCAAACCCACTCACAAGCAAGTGGGTCACCAAACGTTTACATCAAAAAACGAAATCCACGACTAAGGCATCATCGAATTTCTGCAGTATGAGGGCATGATCCAATTTATCTCATATTTGAATGGGCCCTACTAATTATTTTTTTTTGGATAGTTGAATGGTAAGAATCCAATTTGAGATGTGGTTTTGCGAACATCAACTTTACTCAAACCAATCTCAATTCCTGGAATCTCGTGCTTTTAGCATAATCCAAGCCGTAGTCTATGCTAAAAGCATGAGATTCTAAAAATTGAAGTTGGTTTGAGTAATTAGCGGTTGATGTTCGCAACACCGCATTTCAAATTGGATTCTTGCCACTGAACTATCGAAAAATAGAGAACGTAGGACTCCCATTTATAATATGAGAAAGGGTGTGGTATATATAAGGCTTAGACCCTAAACAATCAGAAGAAGGTGCACCTTTAAATGACTTCGAAAAATAGCGTTTTAGTACTCGAAAACTTTGTGATAGCTTGGAATTTTATTTTGATCTCTAACTATAAACTTTAAAACTCAAAAAATAATGCAGATTCGATTGAATATATCTATGACCACTGGAAATTCTTGAAATTGACGGTACAAAAAATGCATTACAAATGCACTATGTCCAAGACTTGAAATCTATTTTTTCTCATGTCCATACATCTTGAGGTCAAGATGATCGATTTGAGAATTTTTAGGCAACGAAACAACCTCTTTTGGTGAATTTTTAATGTGCCTTAATTAGTTTAGGGCCTCACACTTAATATAAACTCTTTCCTTTACATAAAGGAGTAATTGCTGCATTTTCTGCTACTTCAATGCCTGTAATCCATTTGATTCAACAGAAATTGAACTGGTGTAGAATTTGATTCTCTTTCATTGTCTCTCTCAAGCACAATATTTGGATCCATGAAAATTCCCACCTCATAATTTAACTTACAATGAAGCAAGAGTTCACAAATAAGGCCTGCATCCAACACATGTTACCCAAAGCTTTTCACCCTTTGAACATCACAACATGTACTGAACCAGGGGAAAAGAAATCTAAAACTTGAAAATAATTACTCTAGCGAGTGATAGAGAACGAATCCATCACAAATCATGTGCTTAAAAAGATTATTTTTGCATCAAAAATTGCTGCCCTGAAGCATCCTCGACTACTTCAAACTCTCAAATTTGCTGCAAATTTTCCAGGTCAAGCATTGACCCCAGCCATTTCTTTTGCTGGGAAGGTGAAGGGGACGAGTTGTTGTGGCTGAAAATACAAACACAACAACAACATCATCATCATCGTCAAAACCTTTTTCCCAACTAATTGGGGTCGGCTAAAATACAAACACAATATAAATATAGCAAATAAATAGACCTCGTCATGCAATTTAATCAGAAATTTGGCATGTTATGTTATGACAAAAAATACATGATCAAACACTTACCAACAAAAAAAAAAATATGAATGGAGGAAAAAGAAATTCATGCCCAAATGGGTTTTGACCCTTGACAACTGAAAAAAACTAACACCACGTGACTGGGATTTATATTGAAGGGTTGGGGTAAATATGTGAAAGCATTATTGCGATGGGTATATCTAAACTTTCGAAATTTGGAAGGTATTATCACTTAAAGTAAACATGCATTACGCATGTAGTGCAACAAAAAAAACTGAGTTCGAGAATCAATCATACATAATGGAGGAATTAAAGGTTCTTACCGCTGCCAAATCCTTTTCATGCTTTGGAATGAATGCCGTGTCGATTTTTCCATCCTTGAAATCCTGCAGTTTTTTTGTAGCTTGCATTTGTGAGAGAGAGAGAGAGAGAGAGAGAGAGAGAGAGAGAGTAGACGGGATTCAACATTTCATACCTCAATCTCAAGGATGAGTTTATGGTAATCAATGGTTGTTGGAATTCCTGAGAAGGACGAAGAAAAAGATACAGATGCCGTTTAATCCTCTATGGAAAACAAATATTCAAATATGTATAGGCTTTCCAACATTTACTTCCTGTTATGCACCAACTTCCGAGATTCAATAAGGTTCACCAAATTTAAATTAACTACTGAATTTTTTTTTATTGGTTCACCTTTTCTTCTTTTTAATTATTCGCTGATTTTTTAAGCAGCATAGCATGAGAAAGCATAGTAATGTCCTATAAATTAACAGATTGTGTTATTACCTGTTATAACAGTGTCCGCAAGAGCCCTCTTCATACGTTCAATTGCTTTCTCTCGGGTCGGGGCCCAAACAATGAGCTGAAAAATAACGTGAAGTATATAATTTGAAAGAGTTAGAACTCAATTTTCCACAGAACTCCCACTATAACTCGACCCTCAACTGAATCAAATCATCTTAAAATATTTAGCTTTATAGAGACGACTGACATGGGAAATGTTAAAATATCCCATTAGACTCAACCAAACCTATTTATGGGTAAGTCTTCATGAGCCAAAGTCAAGGCAATTTCACTCTACACACCAAGTTGTCATCCAAGTAAGAACAAATTATGAAACATTTCAACAAGGCAAAGTATTGCCATAATCAATAAGACTGGAAAACAATTGTTCATTGGATCACAAGTTTATCACTGCACACTGAAGTGATGGGCAATGGAGAGTGGTACCCACGGGAAGTAAACAGGAACCCTGTGGTTCAACAACATGATATATGATAAAAAAAAGATAAAAACGAACTCTGTGCATTGTAATGCTTAGTAAAATGAATGGAAAACATCAGCTTACCTTTCCAAGAAGTGAATCATAGCTAGGAGGAACCACGTAATCTGGATAAATATGACTGTCCATTCTAACAAATGGCCCTCCTGATGGCAAGTATGCTGTTATCCTTCCTGTTAGTACATATAATCAACAAAATGAAGTCACAAGCTGGGTCTTAAAGTATTTATAAGAAACAAACATACACAATGCATATGTATATGAAAACACCCTTATATCCATATGAAAAGGGCTTGCAAAGTAAAAAAAAAATCAGGGGACTAGAGAGGAGTCAGAGACAGCTGCCAAGAACCAGTAAACAAAATTTTGTTTTCACCTAGGAAAACTTTGCTGAGTCGACTGGACTATTTTAAAAATAAAAAACTTGGGCATGCCCATTTTTATGCTTGTGTATGTGTGTGCATATATGTATGTACATATGTACGTACACTTGTATATTTTGTTTTGCAACATTCTAACAAATCCATGATATTATCAAGATGGTAATGGGGTTGTAGAACTTAGTGAAGGCTTGGGTTCGAAGTCTAGTGTCAACACTATTATTTTATCTTTTCACTCTTCAAAAATATTTTAACTCAATGGAGTTCTATCAAGTAAACTGTTTAACTCAGAAGGGGTATTCCCTGGGACCTATGTGTTTCGCTATCCGCAGTCTGCACAAATGTACATCATCATCATCATCATCATCATCATCATCATCCAAGCCTTATCCCAATTATTTGGAGTCTGCACCAATGTACATGGGCAGAAATTCCAGCCATGTTTTGTTTTTTTAAACGTTCCTATCCATGTTTGTAGTGGGAGAAAAACATAAGTACAAATAGCAATCCCATCCATGTTTGTCGTGGGAGAAAAGCATCAGTACAAATAGAAATCCGCCATATTTAAATTGTATGGCACTTCAAATGAACCACAACTTACACCTTGTACCTAACCACAATATGAACATAATTTTAAATATTTACTCCACAACTAGCAAGCAAATCACAGAAAAAAACAAATACCAGGCCCAGGTCGGAATCCTTTGAACGCATCCTCTGCATTGATACGGCACTCGATAGAATGCCCTCTAAGTACAATATCTTCCTGCACATAAGAACCGGGAAAAACAAGGTTTGCTCATTCCTCAAGTTTTTTGGACAAAAACTTTCTTGGGACATTTATTGAAGTTTTTAATATAATGAAGTTAACTTGGGAACACAAGGAGATCTTATAATACCTGTTTATATTGAAGCTTCTCTCCAAGTGCTACACGAATTTGTTCCTCGATCAAATCCGTAGAAGAGATCATTTCTGTGACTGGATGTTCCACCTGTGTAAAAATTCTATCTTCATAAGACAAAACTTTCGAGTAAAAAGCATAAAAGTTCCAAATCTCCAAAGTTGAAGCTGAATTAACAGCCTTCATTATACCAAATGTTTTATCTCCCTTTTAAATTTAACCTATAACAAATTAGAGCTGACATATAGTAAATTTCAAATTTTACCTGTATCCTGGTGTTCATTTCCATAAAGTAAAACGAACCCCTTTCATCCAAGAGGAACTCAACCGTTCCAACACCTATATAACCTATAGATGCAGCAGCTGCCACAGCAGCATCACCCATAGCTTTTCTAAGTTCTGGGGTCAATGCTGGGGAGGGAGCTTCCTCTAAAAGTTTCTGATTCCTTCGCTGTTAAAGAAAACAAAAGCGAAGAGGCAATAAATAAAGGAAACTGGTCTACCAGCAATTAAATGGGCCAATATATAATATACATAAATCTCACACACAAATGTGATAAACCTTCTGTGTCCAACTCCAACTCAAAAACACCATAACATATGCAAAATAATAAACCACACTTACTTTTTCTACAGATCCAATCGCATGAACAAAATCAATGTATAGAATACATGGTTGTCTTTAAATAATTATCGATGGTACCTGAATGCTGCAATCTCGTTCACCAAAATGGACAACATTGCCATGCTTATCTGCCAGAACCTATCAAATCCCCACAACCTCAGACTTTTTCCAGAGCGACAAAACAATATATACAAAACAATGCTTCAATTTATCAAGAAAAAACAAATAAAAGAAAAGGAAAGTATATCATATAATCCATAGGCTAAGGTTTTCCAAAGTTCATTCATTTGCAGTATATGTGTCCTAAAAGAAATACTCCATAACATGTCACCTTAAAGCATAATTAACAGATTTGACAAGATAGGATGTGTGCCAGATGTATGATCTAGCATAGCAAGAAGACTGTACTGGAAATATACCTGAAACTCAATGTGACGGGGATTTTTAATGTATTTTTCTAAATAAACACCATCATTTCCAAATGCGGCAGCAGCCTCACTCTTGGCTTGCTGCATAAATCAAGAAATTAGCTTTAGTTTTTGTTTCACAAGAAGAATGTAGATTAATTGAAGGTTCAAACGAAACCCCCTTCCTCAACTTCTCATGATAACCAAAAACCATCATAATAAGTCGTCAAGCAAATAAGCATGATGCCAATATAATGCAAAATAATTTGCTAGATCGCACTTCTCAGAGAAAGGTAATTATCAAATATCACAAAACGTTGTAGGAGAAAACAAGGTTGACAATCTTATAATATTCAACATAAAACAGAACCCACCACTAATGAAACTCACAGGTTGCAAAAGGATAACATAATGATCAATAAAAAAACCACAGTGCATTGAGTAATCACTGTCCATTGAAATGATGAAGATTGCTGGATGGGATAGGACACACCATAATATGGCATGACCATGGTGGGTCCCACAGTAAACAGTTATGACCCATTGGGTTATGGTTTTCCATACTCTGTTGAATAATAGTGTGCTTTCTCTTCTAAACATTCTCCTAGAATTTTCCAACCTTTCAGTTTTACATGCCTGAGAATACAACCAAAGACTGAAAATGAGCAATGAAGCAGTGACGTACCTGCAACAACTTCACAAATTCATCTGGTTCATTAGCCAGACGCATTCCACGTCCTCCACCACCAGCAGTTGCCTAGAACATAGTTACATGTTTGATTAAGTGACAGTTACTAAAAACACAACATACATAATGCACCTCAACCCTTTTTCCCCTTTTGAAAGTAATTGCTATGTATTGCCAAAAGTTCTCAAAAGAGGAACCAACTTAGTGCTACATGAACAAAGACGAACAATACATATGCGCAAATAAACATGCTGTGTGTGTGTGTGTGCATGTTGCCTACATTCCAAAACAAAGGCAAATAGAACCAACAATGTGTAAAGAGTTCTTATACCTTTATCATAACAGGAAAACCAATCTCATGAGCAAGCCTGACAGCCTCCTCTGTTGTCTGCGTACAATCATGCCAATGAATTGATACAACGCTCTATATGCTAAGCATATCATAAAGCACATTGCAGAATGCATTCGATGTGAAACCTGTAGCAATCCATCACTTCCTGGAACGGTTGGAACACCAGCTTTCTTCATTGTTTCCCTAGCAGTAGCTTTGTCACCCATAACACGGATGCTATCTGGCTGCAAAAGAAGAATGTAAAAACCATGGCTACAGTCCAGGAAACGAGAAGCAATTGATTGGAGGAGCAATCTTTCCAGAATACTATAACATAAAATTAAAGTTATTTGTAAATAGCGTGTTCCAGAAACCAATGGTTACATAGTCACAAAAGAAATTTGAAATAACTATGTACTGCTAAGAAGGCTACTCATCTCATCATAATGAATCAAATGTACATAACACACCATGGAAGCCATAATGAATAGTTCAATCATGCTACGTATACAAAATATACAAAGGCTCTTTTCCTTTTTTTTTCGTTCTTTTTTTATAATGTTACAAATTTACTAAAAGTATTTGGATCATTTAAATCATATGTAACAATAAAAACTTGTAAGCATGTAAGAAAGAACCATAATATAAAAACAAATACGGAACCCATATGTTTATTTTCTTTGATAAAAAAACAACCTGCATGCTCAAGGATGACTGCCCCAATGGCAGTAGCTCTCGAAGGCATAGAAGAAACTCACAGACTTGAGTTCCAATTTACCAAAATTTTTCATACCCTCGTCAGAGAAAATTCAAAATGGTACAGGTGAATGACAAAAAAGGTTGAAATTCAGAGCTTCTCAAATACTATAGCAAACATGAGAGCTTTTTAGCTATCCAGTAAAAATAGGATCATTTTTGGCATTTGAGTAAAGACTCCAAGATTTCCAAACACCTTTACTCATTGGTAAGCCTAAAAACTACTTCTGGGCAAGAAAACCATACTCATACATTCCAGTCTGCAAGAGATGAGCAACTTCATAAGAATATAATACTCACATTGGGTCCAATGAAATTGATACCATGGTCTCTACAGATATCAACAAAAGTTGCATTTTCAGAGAGGAAACCGTATCCAGGATGCAACATCGTGCAATCACGGCTAACAGCAGCAGATAGAACATTTGGAATGAACAGATACCTGTCATCAAAAAATTATCAAAAACCATGTTACAGGACAGATAAGTGTAGATATGTTATCAGCATCAAGACTAAAGAGAAAAAATGTGCCCAATCTTTAGCATAAACAAATGAAATATTTACAATGAAAATCCAACTATCTTATAACTATATACAAAATTTTAAATTCACTCACGATTGGTTACTTGGTGCTTCCCCAATGCAAACTGCCTCATCTGCAAGCCTGACATGAAGTGCATCCTGGTCTATTGTCGAGTAAACAGCAACGCATGGAATACCCATCTCGTGGGCAGTGCGGATAACACGCACTGCAATTTCACCCCTATTGGCCACGAGGATTTTCTCATCTCGACATGTAGCATTTAATGCTCCCCCACATTTCTTGAATTTGCTAGTTACGGTAGCTGTCGGTCTAAGAAATGTTACAAGGTTCCCACCCAGAAAGCTGCATCTTGAACTTATGATTCCTCTTGCCCCACTTTTGAACAAATCCTTGTTTCCACAAAATAAAAGCAAACAGAACATAGATAAGGAGATGATGAATTACATACTGCTAGTCAAAGTGATAAAGAGTACCAAAAAAAAGCAATTACATAACTGCAAGTCAAAGCATTTTAAACAAAACCTCAATTTCATGGCAATTCAAAATAGAATTTCTAATAGACCCAAGTTTTCTATACCTCTTTTCTATCTTTCGTTTTTTTTTTTTTTTTCGTGAAGCAATTCTTTCCTTCATTATTATTTGTACAAATGTACAGGTGATTAGGCTGAATGGGGGAAGTGGATAAGATTTGGAATTCGTCATCAGATGATTATTACCAGTAAAAATTTCTTTTTCATGCATTTTTACTTGAAATGTAATGTTGTTTGAATGAAAGGAAAAAGTGTATATTTACTATTTTTCAGTAGTTCTTCACAATAACAAACATACATATAAAGGAAACAGTTTATATAAGGTTGCAACCTTATATGCAGAACTAAGGATGCACCTCAAAAATCCATTGGAAAAGGTAGTTTTAATGTTGAAAAACCCTTTGATTGATCATCTCGACATCAAGATGTATGACTTTTAAGTCTCAGAAATAATGCATTTTACAACATATTATCTACACCGTCCATTTTCAAGATTTTCATATGTGTATAGATCTACTTGATTTAAACCATTTTTTAAATTTTAAAT